GTCGCAGGGAGGTAACCAAAGATTGGTTGATATCTACCGCTCTCCCCAGCCGCAAAAACCCTCTGTGGAGTCGACGTTGTCATGACTTGGGCCAGAAACCCAACTTTATCAAGGGGTAGGCCGAATCGCGCTTGATTGAAAGAAAGCGCTGGATACACGGGCAATTGAGTTCGATACTAAAAGAAGATCAAACGAAGGGACTATCGGAATTAGGAGTGTACCATAACAACTGACCAATTGTGGCTCAGGATTTGAATAGGAGGAAAACTGGTGCCGGTCAAGGCACCAATCTCACGTCCTCTTCGCCAGATCCCTTAATCTCCACAACATCATCCTCCGGATGTGATGGAATTCACTGGATTCAACTTTGAATGAAACTATCAAAAGCCGGCCAGTGCTCGCGGGCACCGTGTAACTGCGACTACCGACTAAACTGGTTCAACAGCACGTCTTTTGCAGCCGACCTGAAGTTACTGCAAGGCCATATGACAGAGTCCTTACACGTACATGCCAGGTTTTGTATTATCCTAAGACCGGAAACAGAAGGCAAAAAGGGATATCGTCAATGCTCGAAGGCATGTGGCACGCACGAATGCAGAGGATGTTCAACCGTTGCCAGAAACAGGTGTAAAGACCGTTGCAGTGGGCTCCTCGCCTCGCTCAAATCTGGAGGAGTATTTCTGATTTTTCGCCTCATCCCTTAATTTTCTCCAGGCATAATTTTCACAACTAGCTTCACGGATTGACCAAAGACTTGTCCATTGCGCCCTTGAATCCGCCACATAACCTCTACCAGACCCGGAGGTACGATATGCAACGGAGTCGAAATTGATACACTCAATCGCCCCTAATCAGAGATTGAAATGTCTCATGCATTCCGATTCGTCACCAAACGACATGAAAAGAGAGGAACCAGGATCTGGATTGGGGGACAAGATAACAAGGCGTCAATGACGTGACGCGTCTACGTACGTCCTCTGCATTTCTTTATTGCCAGTCGAGTTGACGAAATACAAGCTAGACTGTCGGATCCGAACATTCTGAGTCGAACCTTACCCTAATGTGCGTTAACGGTCCTCGTCTTTCGTGACAAGCGATGTAAGCGTCCAAGACCGAAGCCTTTTCAGAGAGATGTACCGGGCGACAGATCGACCCGCGGAAATTACCGGTAAATCAACCTCAAAAGAGCGATATGAGTGAGATGTACGCCAGAGGACAGAAGCTTGGACGGCAGATTACGGCGGCTCAGAATGAAATCAAGACCTGGCACAACCAAGGGCGCCATACTGTCTTCCTGGCCTTGAACTTTACTGAATCCCAAGCGGACTTTAGAGATCCCTTTTTGACAAAACCTCATATCAAACCATTGAAAGCTACCGCATCGGAAAGGTCCGAGGAATCAGGCATAGCTGGCCGTGCGGGTAAAGAAAGCCGCGCGCTTGTTGCGAGCCGCCTTTCGGGCTAAGCTTCCTTGTCCTAAAACCTTTGGCGAATACGACCAAAGTGGGCGGCCGGATCCTTGATGGTTTAGAAGCTTTTTAGTCCTACCTTGAAACTCGACGAACTAGTCTCCCAGATAGATATGATCGTGACGGAACGTCTCGTGTTCGTCACGAGGCGGCAGCTAGCTCAAGAAGTAGGAGAGATTGGCTATCCTGACGCGTGTAAGTTGAGGGCGCCAGTCCTGGATACTCTCCTTGCCTGGACGAAAATCCGAAATCCGTTTTTGGACCAACTTAACGGATGCTTGGCTTGTTTTTGCCTTCCAAACATTCGTTCAAGGTCGAAACACCTAGCTTTAGAATTCAAAGCAACGTGAGCATTCTCCGTGTGAGAACTGAGGCCCAGATGTTGACGAAAGGCTCGTTAGTAGCCATTATAAACGACTCCATGCGGAAAAAACGCGTGATTGATCCGAATCTGGCTCCTTCTAGGAGAGTGACTTTTGCATGAGGCATTAGGGAGCACTTTAGTTGGCCGCAGTTATTTGTGGAGCCAGCGCCGTCGAGTCGAGCAGCCCTTCCTTGCCATCTCAGCTGAGATGTTTTACGAGATGCTTCGGTTTCGTGGAAGGCACTTTCAAACCTCGAAGGCAGGGACTGGCGATTACGAAGTCCACAGCCCTTATGCGTCTGCGCTCAAGCAAGAGACCATACCGGTTTCCGGTTTACTAGCATCTCAATACGTGCCGAGGCGATTGTTACGATCTGGTGATGTATGCACGTGCGCAAACATTACTGGAGAGCATACGTTTTTTATGGGCTCGAGAATGAGAAAGGGCGGAAGATCTCGTGCAAGACGTACGAGGACTCTTATATGCAGCTCATACGAGGTCGACAATGATCAGTGGGGCATGAGTGACGGATTTTCGCCCTCACATGCGCCGTCCGGTTGTTAGCACCACAACCTTAAGCTTCCGGTTCTAGGCTTGATACCAGAGGAGCCCACCTTTGGGATGACATAACCCGAATTCCAGCAGGCCCCAGCCTTAGATTCTTTTCCGGTACCGATTCTCCTAAAGTATGAAGCGCGCGCGATGGGCTTAATCTCCCGACTCTGTCGCGTCTGCCTACAGCAGCGCCATCAGACTGTCCAATCGACTAAACGAGCGGTCCAAAAAGCCGGTTCTCGTTTCACTTCATGTGAAGCTTCAAATCAGCTTGAAAACTGATTCGAGTGGCTTGTCCTCAATCAAGCACGAAAGACTAGCGCTTGCGTATCTATGTCACGAAGCGACTGAACGTGGGGTTGACAATTACTGTGTATCGCAAATTAAGGGATTCAAGAAGCAGTCGCTCTAGGCTAGTGCCCTTCAAATCGATGTCTTGTCCTTTGATCAGGCAGACCTCACGTTACCCCCGCCTAATTGCTAGAACAAAGCAATTACTTTAAACGACAACCGCAAGCTCGGGCCGGGCGGAGAGAAAATTTCGAAAACCGTATTTGACCAACTAAAGGATGGCTAGCCTGAAATCTGCTTTGGAGGTCATCGTGTCATGCATGATATATTCTGGTACGAAGCGGCTTGATGTATGAGAACTTGAAGGTGCCCAAAGCAAAGGGTACACTCAGAAAAACTACCTTTTGTGATCTGAGGAGCGACTCGGACAAGAAAAAAACTTCGACCAAAGGTAGAAACGCAGACCGGGCGCAAACGACATATCGTGGCTCAGACGACAGGACCCAAGGTCAGTGATGCGGCTCATAAGGCACCACTTTGGCGTCCTCCTGGCTTAAATTCTATCTGAAGGTTACATTGAACCACTTCTTGGCCTACTGAAGAACCCCATGATAGTCTACTCATTAGGCTAGTTGAGCGCGCGGGCGGCTTGTCGAATGAAGTGGCTCCATCCGAAAAACAAAGCCGTGATTGCTCAGAATGTCCTTCCAAGATTGTGACATGTGTAGCATCAGTGCGCTAGCGAGCCATTGAGGTGGCCGTAGTGGCCTGTGGGGCCAATATGGCTACCCGTCGAGTTGAGCAGCCCTCCTTGCCATCTCAACTGACAATTTTCACGAGATGCTTTTGTTTCTTGGAAGACCACTCATGAAATCTAAAAAGCTAGTAGTACTGGCGATCACGAATATCACAGTCGGGCCTTCGTAAAACCGAGAGACCATTTTTAAATAGCAATATTGATCAGCGCCTTCAGTACGTGCCACTTTTGTTAGAATTGGGGTAGCAATTCTGGTCAATCGAATAACCAAGTGGTTGAGGAATCAACGGTCAAAGATACGAGTGATGAACGGCTGAGATTTAGGCGGGAAACGTTGTTGATCAGGAAAGCTGAACGGTCCAGATTGAGTATGCAGATAGAGTGTAAGACTCTATAAAGACAGAGCAGATCGAACATGATTGTAATCAACATAACAGAGAAGCATGATAGAGAAGAGAAGGCGCCTGTGAAAGGCGCTCGTGTCATTGTGTCGTGTGCAGTATGTGAATGTCCATCAAGTGTAACGATGCAATACGCCGATTTTCCAACAGGTTATGGGCCCACGCCACGAGGTGAAGGCGCGGCTTGATGGACATGAGGTGAAGAGGGAGTGAAGAATGGTCTGCTGAAGAGAAGAAGAGGAGCTCAAGAAGAAGAGCTCGAATGAAGCTGAAAAGATGGCGGCGATTGAGAGGATCTCAATTCCGCAGCTGGGGACTGAAATTGGCCTGTGTTCAAGGACAAGTTTCTGGCGTTGCTAGTGTACAAAGGGCTGGCAGTGGCAATTGAACAGCCTGATTCAGCAGAAGGGAAGAAAGCGAATGATCAAGCTAGAGCGTTGATCACTCTCTATATCCAAGATGCGCATGTGAGATTGATCAAAGGAGAAAAGTCTGCTGCAAGAGCATGGGAAAAGCTGTTAGAATATCGCACGTCTAGTTGACGGTTGACAGGCTAATAGACTTCGTACCGTACGATATCGAGTATGGTAACTTCGACCGTAGATATGACAAGTCGTAGAATTGCCTCGTAGGCTAAGACGCTGTGAGGATGACTCGCGAAATTCATTCCTAGTGATTCCTTCCTGACGCATGAGCGCCTTCCTCTCATCTCAGCATGTTAATGGTGTCCTGCCATCCTGTCTCTGCATAGCTGCATGTCCTGAAAGCATTCTGCTAACAGGTTATGGGCCTCACCACTAGCACTACCGTTAGTGGACAGAGTTAGCTCAGAATGAAGCTGATCAGTTCTTTTGCCATTCTAGGAGGTTTGTTGGGGGGCGATCTGCTACAGCAAGTGCCAGCGAGCAGCTGTATTGTCTTGCGACGATCGGTTTGCCTAAGGGTGATCCGTGAGCTTGGCAACACCTGAGAAGCCCTGTACAGGGGGAATCAGGTGGCAGTGGAAAGCCTTGGGAAATTCCCCACTATCTCCTAGCTCTCCCCGGGGGGAGCGTGGCAAGATCAGCTAACCTGAGCATCCCGCAGCTATAGAAGCAGTGTACAGCCTCAAGCAAGCAATCACAGCAGATTGAGCTTTGAGGGATTTTCGAAGAAGAAGATCATGGCTGAGACTACTGAGAAGATCTCCATCGAGAAGCTAAAAGGAGCAGAGAACTACCAGACTTGGAAGATCCTGATCGAATTGCTTCTGACGGAGAAAGGCCTCAAGAGATGCGTGGAAGAAGAGAAAAGATCAGCCACAGAATTGGCTGCCAGAACTGAAGCGGTCAAGACCAAGGAAGCAGAAGATCAAGCAAAGGCTTTAGCTGCAATTGGTCTGAGAGTCTCATCAGAGTTTCTTGGTGTGATCACAGATGCGCAAGGTTCAGCAAGAGCTGCGTGGGAACAGTTCCAAAAGATGTTTCAGTCTGTGACTAACGCCAGGAAGATGATGCTCAGAGAAAGACTTGCTTCTTTGAAGATGGAATCTGGAGAGTCTGCTGCCAAATACATTGCAAGAGCAAAGGATCTAAAAAGAGACCTTCTGCAGGCAGGCTTGGAAGCCAAGGAGGTGGATCTCGCTGCAGCTTGCGGACTCTCAAGATCCTACAGAGAGATCAGAATGGCCTTGGAATTGTCTGAAAGAGAAATCTCTCTAGATGACATGTTGCCTCTGTTGCTCCAGCACGAAGCACGAATCGAAAGAGACGAAGAGACTGATCAAGCAGAATCGTCGAATTCGATGGCTTTCGCGAGCAGAAATCAGAAGCAAGGCAAGGCGAAGTTCCAGAACAGGAACTCTGACTCCACAGTCTGCTGGGAATGTGGCAAGGAAGGACACAGAAGATCTCAGTGTGACAAGAATCCAGACAAAGGGAAGAAGTGCTCCAAGTGTGGAATGAAAGGCCATACAGAAAGAGACTGCAGGACAAGAAACTTCAGAAAGAAGAATGGATCTGGAGAAGACAAAGGAATGCAAAAGTCTATGGCCTTCGCCACTCCTCCTGGAAAAGACCTCTCAAAAGACTGGATTCTTGACTCTGGTGCAAGTACGCACATCTGTTGCAACAAGGAGATGTTCTCAGAGCTGAGATCAGATGCAAACGGAGAAGTTCAAGAAATCAAAGGAGTTGGGGATTCAGTCAGAGTGAAAGGAATTGGGAGAATTCCTCTTCTCTGTGAGGTTTCAGGAGGAAAGCTGACTGAAGTGTATCTCGAAGATGTGAGATACGTGCCAGAAGCAGGAGTAAATCTGGCCTCAATGAGCAAGTTTCTGGGAAAAGGAGCAAAGCTGGGGAGTGACGGAGTGATGTTGAATCTGAGCATAGCAGGGGAAAAGTTTCTGGAAGCGGTTTGCTGCAAAGGAGTCTCGGTGATCTGCACCAAGGACAGGGAAGAAGTGGCGTTCGCCAGCAGACAGGTGGCTGAGGCGCGCCTTTGGCACAGGCGCCTTGGACATGCAAGTTGCGACGCACTGGCCAAAATGTCCCAAGAGACCCTGGTGGAAGGCCTCCCCCCTCCTCAAGCCTTCCGAAAAGCCGGAGAATCCCTGTGCGAAGATTGCATCCTCGGAAAGCAAACCAGGAAGCCGTTCCATCCCAGTGACCGAAAGAGCGAAGGGCCTCTTGAGCTCATTCACTCAGACTTGTGCGGCTCAGTTCCCTGCAAGACAGCCGGCGGAGCCAAGTACGTCGTCACTTTCACTGACGACTACAGTCGATGCAGTGTCATTCAACTGCTGAAGACGAAGGACCAGGCAAAGCAAGCTCTCCGTGCTTACGTCAATTTGGTCGAGAACCAGCTGGGAAAGAAAGTGAAGAAGATTCAGAGCGATCGAGGTGGGGAATACTGGAACGGAGAAGTGAAAGACTACTGTGCTGAAACTGGCATCTTTCACCAGAAGACAAATCCTTTCTCCAGTCCAGAAAACGGGGTCGCCGAGAAGCTGAATCGAACTCTCATGGACAAGTCAAGAGCGATGCTTTCCGAGAGCGAACTGGAGCTGAAGTGGTGGGGCGAGGCGATCCTGACGGCGAACTACGTGAAGAACAGAACGGTGACCAAGAAACACGGAAAGACCCCCCTGGAGCTGTTCTTCGGGAAAAAGCCAAGTGTTCAAAACCTCCGAGTCTTCGGTTGCCGCGCCTTTGTCCACACCCCAGCTCAGAAAAGGACGAAGCTCGACCCAGTCTCAAAGCCCGGGGTTTTCCTGGGGTACGAACCCGGAACGAAGGGGTACCGAATCCTGCTGACGTCAGATCTACGAACGATCGTCATCAGCAAGGATGTTACCTTCGACGAGCGGGAGAAGGAGGAGAGCGACCTCTGGGAATTCGAAGTTCCGCTGACGGCCTCTCCAACCCCGTCAGAGCCGGCAGCTGCAGAGCCCGAGGGAGAGAAGGAAGCGGAAATCCGAACTCCAGGGAGAGTGGAACCGGGGAGAGCGGAACCGGAAGAGCGGAACGAAGCGACGGAACTCCCAGAAGCGGAAACCAGGGCGGAACCGGAACCGGTCAGAAGCGCGCGCGTCAGAAAGCCCAGCCAGTGGTACAACCCCGACGACTGGTTAACGGCAAACGCGGCGAAGGAAACGGAAGAACCGGTCGAACCAAAGTCCCTGGGGGAAGCGCTCAACAGTCCTGAAGCGGAGCTCTGGCGAAAGGCAATGGACGAAGAGTTCGGGAGTCTTCAGGAGAACCAGACGTGGGAACTCGCTGAGCCGCCCTCCGGAGTGAAACCCATCCCCTGCAAGTGGGCCTTCAAGTTGAAGCGAGACGAGAACGGGCAGATCAACCGGTACAAGGCAAGACTGGTGATCAAGGGTTTCCGGCAGAAGAAGGGAGTCGACTTTGAAGAAGTCTTTGCCCCCGTGAGCCGGCATGTGACTCTTCGGACCCTTCTGGCAGTTGCAGCGGTGGAAGACCTGGAGGTGGATCAACTGGACATCAAAACGGCCTTCCTAAACGGGGAACTCGACGAAGAAATCTGGATGGAGCAGCCAGAGCTCTTCCAGACCGGCGGACCGAAGCTGGCCTGTCGCCTCAAAAAGTCCCTGTACGGTCTCAAGCAGGCTCCACGTGTCTGGTACTTGAAGCTGGCCAAGGAGATGGAAGGTCTGGGGTTTGAGCCTTCGGCGGCGGATCCAGCTCTGTTCATCCGGGAGAGCGAGAGCGACGGAAGAGCGTTTGTGGCGGTCTGGGTGGACGACGCGCTGGTAGTCGGGAAGAAGTCGGTGGTCGGAAACGTCAAGGCGGCGCTCGCGCGGATCTTCGAAGTGAGAGACTTGAGGCCGGTGAACTACTTTCTCGGAATGGAAGTGAAGCGCGATCGGGAGAATCGGACAGTAACCCTGACTCAGAAGCGGGCGGCAAAGGACCTGCTCGAAGACTACGGAATGAGCGCGACGCGGCCGCGAGGCGTCCCGCTAAACCCTGGCGAAAAGGTGCAGAAGGAGGGAGAGGCTTTAGACACGGAGCGGTGTCCCTTCCCGAGCCTGGTCGGCAGCCTCATGTACCTAGCCAACTGCACAAGACCGGACCTGGCCCAAGCGACGGCGTCCCTGGCGAGATTCATGAGCTGTCCCACGGAAAACCACTGGCGTTTGGCGAAAGGCGTCCTGAGCTACTTAGCCGGAACCACGGATCAGGGGTTAACCTTCGGAGAGGGGCCTTTAGAGTTCTCGGGGTTCTGTGACGCTAACCACGGGGGCGACCTGGATACCCGGCGCAGCACGACCGGTTATGTCTTCGTGTTTGGCGGCGCGGCAGTGAGCTGGTCAAGCAAGTTACAGCAGACCGTAGCGTTCAGCACAGTTGAGGCGGAATACATGGCGGCCGCTCACGCGGCAAAAGAAGGACTCTGGATCCGGAAGCTTGCGGTGCACCTGGGGATCAAGTGCGGACAGTTGCTGATCCAGAGCGACAACCAAGGGGCCTTGCAGCTCATCAAACACCCCATCACATCCCAGCGCTCAAAGCACATAGACATCACCCATCACTTTGTGCGCGAGCGTGTCATCCGGAAGGAGCTCAAGTTCGACTACTGCCCGACCAAGAAGATGCCAGCCGACTTCCTGACCAAGCCTTTGAACCAGCAAAAGTTCGAGGAGTGTAAGAAGAGAGTCGGCATGACATAAGAGAAGGTAGATAGATCAGGAAGGTAGAAGTCTATAGCCTGAGGGAGAGTGTTAGAATATCGCACGTCTAGTTGACGGTTGACAGGCTAATAGACTTCGTACCGTACGATATCGAGTATGGTAACTTCGACCGTAGATATGACAAGTCGTAGAATTGCCTCGTAGGCTAAGACGCTGTGAGGATGACTCGCGAAATTCATTCCTAGTGATTCCTTCCTGACGCATGAGCGCCTTCCTCTCATCTCAGCATGTTAATGGTGTCCTGCCATCCTGTCTCTGCATAGCTGCATGTCCTGAAAGCATTCTGCTAACAAAAGCTGCAGCAGAACTTCGAGAGGATTAGTAATACAAGGGTAATTCAGCTTAGAAAGAAGCTGACATGCATGAAGCTGAAGCCGAAGCAAGCGATCGTTGAGTACTTGGGAGAGTTCAGGGAGATCAAGCTGGACCTTGAACCAGCGAACCAGACAGTTGACGACATGGAGCTTGCCGTGCATGCATTGACAGGCCTTCCAAAGGAGTATTCAAGTCTGGTGGAAATCTTGGAGAACGGAGAAATGGAGCTGAGCTTGGACAACATCCAGTCGAAGCTCGTGCAAAGAGAACAGAAGTTGAAAATGGAGGCCGAGATTGAGAGCAAGAGTTCAGAAGAAGAAGAAGAAGAAGAAAGAGACACATCAATGGCATTTTCAGCGCGAAGGTGGAACCATAGCAACTCAAGACCAGCGGAAAGAGGTCAGGATGCCAGAAGATGCTATTGCTGTGGGGAAGAGGGCCATATCAAGGCGAACTGCAGAATGAAAGATGCAGAGTGCCACAACTGTGGTGGGAGAGGACACATGAAAGTGGTCTGTAGAAAGCCTAAAAGGTCAGCTGGAGAGCAAGCCTTTTCTGGATTCTCGAGGACGCTAGCATTCAATGCTTGGGACAACGAAACAGCTAGGCAATCAGGTGCTTGGATAGTAGACTCAGGTAGCACGCAGCATGTTGCAGCAGATCGAAGTCAGTTCAAGCACTATAGAAAGTTGAGCAAGCCTGAAAGCATTGAAGGGATTGGAGGACAACAAGTTTTTGCAGTGGGAATAGGCTCAATAGAGTTGCTCTGTGAAACTCCTCAAGGCAAGACGCTGGTGACATTGCAAGAAGTGCGTCATGTGCCAGAAGCAAAGGCAAATTTGCTGTCTGTGAGCAAGGCAACCGATGCAGGAGCAGAAGTGGTGATGAAAAAGGGAGTCTGCCAGATTGTGGTGGACAACGTGGTGCAGCTGCAGGCATTGCAACAGAATGGTCTGTGGAGAATCGAGACTGTGGGAGCTGAGCAGAAGTCATTCTTCACAAGGAGATCAATCAAAAGAGAGGACCGGGAGACAGTGCGGAAACAGGAGAAGACTGTCAAGGAGAAGAAGGAGGAAAAGAGGACGGTCAAAATGATTGAGGTGGACCTTGACGAGGAGAGTGAGGAAAATGAGGAGCGGAACGTGGAAAAGAGCGAGGAGGAGAAAGAAAAGGAAAAGGAACGGACCGGGGAAGTGTCCGTCAGTGAGGAGAAGGAGGAGACGAGCGAGAAGTCAGCCAAGGGAGCGGAAAGCGTGGAAGGAAAAACAGAAGAAACGAAGAGAAACGAGAGCGCAAGAGAACGTGTGCAAGAGACGAGAGACGAAGGGGACGGGCGCTACCCAGATCGGCAGAGGAGGAGTACAATCAAGTTTGGGGCGATCGGAGATGGCTTTGTTTGGACCACGCCGAAGTCCAAGTACAAAAGGTAGCATGATGAAAAGAAAGGAAGTAGTCACATAAGAAGACAGTGAAGAGTTATTCGCTTGAGAGGAGGTGTTAGAATTGGGTTAGCAATTCTGGTCAATCGAATAACCAAGTGGTTGAGGAATCAACGGTCAAAGATACGAGTGATGAACGGCTGAGATTTAGGCGGGAAACGTTGTTAACGTTGATCAGGAAAGCTGAACGGTCCAGATTGAGTATGCAGATAGAGTGTAAGACTCTATAAAGACAGAGCAGATCGAACATGATTGTAATCAACATAACAGAGAAGCATGATAGAGAAGAGAAGGCGCCTGTGAAAGGCGCTCAGTCTGCTTTTATGGGCACCTCACAACGAATTGAAAGTTGAGCAGGTGCCGCATGGGGAACGGGCAACGTCTAAGGAAACTCTGTTCAGTTGAGCATCCGCGTTCGAATTCCCCCGAAAGGCTCTGAAGGCGCCACTTTCAAGTGTGAAAGACGTTATTGAAGAGCGACTTCAAAACAATCCAATAGAAGAGCTTCAGTAGCTAGCCTCAATTTCTAGATCGACATATTCTACATGATAGACCTTGCAGACAGGAAAGGCCGATCAGACGAGGACAGTCCGTAACGACCAGTGCTGGCTCAGGCGTCTCTATGACAACAAGTTTGGCAGCCCATGGCACCACGAGGATCGCGTCCTCTTCGCACACTGCGGAGATTTTTATAATAAGAGACAGAAACGATCTTATAAGGCCTCCGTCTAGATTGTCGGTTACGAGTTATTGCTTTCCACACCGTTTCACTACGGCTACGAGTGCGCCTCGACTTTGCGTTACGGCTGCGGAAGTCGACAGGACGCAGCTAGCTAGAGGCTGGCGAAATCGAGCGTATCATTGTGCAAATTTCAAATTGTGACACAAACAGATACGAGCAGTTTCAAGCCAAGTAATTTTCTGGTTGAATGGATCTAGAATTTCATGTAGAGTGAGCTTCAAGTGGTCTGTGTGAATCAACCCGATGCGACATACAAAGCCCACACAGACGAGGTGACAGCTTTGAATCGTTTCAAGAGGTTGCAATACAGAACCCTCTTGTAGTGCTGTTGTGCTTGTAGCGTAGCAGTCGTAAAAGTAAACCTTCCAGTCCTGGCCTTGCGCGGACTGCTGAAAGAAGAACAAAAGTAACGAAAGGAAACAACTTGGTTCCTCCAGAAAAGTACAAGTCTCTATTGACCTTCTGCGATCTTGCCTAGTAGCTCGATGAGGCAAGAGGTTTCTCCACTCGGCAAACTACGCTCCCGAAGAAGTGGGCAAGTGCTGCTTGTCTTTGCAGAGACTTACTCAGTAAAAGACTTCGTAGCCGGGCAATCGTCTGACCGTCTGCAACCAGTATCAAGAGTCCAATTGCAAGAGTACCATCAAAAAGGTGAAAAAGAACCGTATGCGGGGCTTCAGTACAGCAGCCCAGACATTTACGGAAACCTGTGGCGCCGAGTCAAGGAACACAAGCGCCAACTTCTCGACCAGCCCTTCATTGCCACTTGCCACGCTAGCACGACGCTCGGTACTGTTCTATTAGAGATCGTTGTCACAATGCGAGTGCAGCAATAAGCGCGGCGAGAAACAAATCTTGGTTCACACCATCAGCTTTCATTGTCATAATTAGTGACCGCACACGAGAAGCGTTGCTAGATGCGGCGGCTTGGATACTTGACGAGCTGGACGAAGACCTCTGCCGAAGGTTTCCTTCGGCATGGAGTTCCGCCTTGCCACACGGCTTTCAACCCGCTTGAGCAAGAAATCATCTACAGCTTGAGAAGCCCCAGAAACGAATTGACGTGTTAAAACCTTATCTCTAAAGGTACCAAATCTATCAAGCTAGACTCGGTGCAGAGTGGAAAGTGAATTAGACCGGACAGACCAGAAATCAAACTCAAACCGCCCCAAATATCCAGAATGCTACTGCAAAGGATGATCAACGAAAGCTTGCATGTTAGGACCAAAAAAGCGAACGGACAGAATAATGGCGAAAGCACTCAGAACACGGATAGCCGCAAGACGGACTCAACGACGGCCAAGGAAGTCGACGAATTTACTAACGCATCTGAGCAAGTGGGAGCTAGAGCTCGCGCGCTTCCTTGACACTGGATGCATAATCACGAAGAACAATTGGGCAGAAACAAATTCTCGAGGCCCAACGGGCCATGGCAAACTGGACATTTGGAACAAAAAATCTAGCAAAGATATCAGTTTTAGTCACTGGACTAACCTATGCGCAATAGCTTTCGCCGTTAGTGGCTTAGCAAAGGGAAACTTAGAATCTCATGATGGCCTATCGAAGCCGCGTCGTTCCCTTAAAGAAGAATTCTAAAGGAAAACCCACACAGTCAAAAAGGTGGACAAGGGGCATGTCCAACGTTGACGCTCGAGGCATGTTTGCCCTTGCGGTGTGAAACGGCAAAGGGACACCAGACACTTCAAAAGCTCGTGGGCTCCTTGAAAAAGTACTTGATGCACCTTTAGATGATTAAAACGTTCAACTGCTGTATAACGTTCGGCCCTCTGTCACCACTGGCACTTTTCACAGACCAAAAATAACGTCGCATTTCATTGATCAGCCGCACCACTCAGAGTCGGAGGTGTGGCTAACAAAAGGGCGGCACATTATTTGGTAAATTTGGCACAATGTTCTCGTGCTTTCTGATCAGAGGGTCGAAATGTCTGGTGGATTGTTCCCCACCAAAATTCAAAAGTTATAAGATTGTTGGACCCTCGAAGTGGCTCGAATGAGTTCTTGAGAAACGCATGGCGCTTCTATGTACCTGAAGCGTGGCGCCATCTGGATGTCATCCTTGTCAATCGTCGGATGGTTTACAAACCCGGGTCTCGACCCTTTTGTATGAAGCTTGGTCGGGCTGCTGCTTGGAAGGTATTGGTGCCGTGGGCAGGAACCCTTTCATACGTCGAAGCAGCGTACGTGATGTGAATTCGAGCTTTTTTAATCGGTTGAAAGGCATAAACGTCGACGGATGTGGAGACACCGGGAAACTATTTCGAAAATGACTGAGAGGAAAGATTGGAAAGCGAAGCGCACGTAAAACACTTACCGTGGCTCAGATACAACGTAACTGAAGACTGGTGATGCGGGCCATGGCACCAGATTACATCATCCTGGCCTCGAACTTCAAATGGTTTCGTAGAGTCCTTTCTTCGAACGAAGCCGGCCCCTTGGCCCCATATATAGGTATAAAGTTTTTAACCAATCCGTTGCAAGTCAACATGACAGCAAGGGCCATAGTAAGCTCTTGCCCAAAAAAGGTCCGCAAATATCGTGTGATATCGAGCTTGCTTTAATCAGGGCTTTCTTTGCCCGGGGACCCACTCGAAGATCTCTTTGACAACCAGGCAGGAAAGTGGGCGGACTCCCAAGATTGATACAAGCGATGCGGGAGACACTAACAAGTCTGTACTTGGACCTGTCAGACTGGGCCCTGAAACGAGCTGTCAGCCCAAATTCAAAGCATTGGAGATCTAAAGCGTTTCCGAGCTTGTTTGACGCGCCTTGATGAGGCGATATTGAGTACTGCTACGGAGAACGAGAGGCAAGCCGTAACGTCACGCCCAAGGCAGAGTTTGACCAAGCAAGCCATATTGAAGGAAGATAGAGTACAGGCATAGGCAGTAGTCAAAAGCGCCCACATCAAGACAGAAGAACACGAAGCCGTGTAGGCGCCGCCCAGCACAAGTTGCTGAAGTTGCTGAACGCTTCTGATAGTGGTAGCTGTAGTATCCTGAATCAGCGATTCTGTTCTGAAGCAGAAAGTGCAGGACCGGTGCAGTCTTTCTGAGCAAGTGAGTCCGCGTCAAAGTAGCTACAGTGCATGCATACGTAAGAACAAACCCGTGAATGATCACGATTACAAATTTTATGTTACATGTGAGGCGTCAGACACCCGAGCAATTAGCAGTGGCCTTTGGGGCCAGCGCCCTCGAATTGAGCAGCCTTCCTTGCCGCCTCTCTATAAGGAGATCCAAATTGGAGCTTATGGTAACCTGAAGGGCCGGGCGAATCCACACCAAGAAGGCGCCGGCCGAAAGCGGCGAGACCGAAATTCCCTCAAAGGCGTCCACCCGCAATCGAGTGGCCGTTCTCAAAGCAACTTCTCTAAAGTTCACCCTCAGTGCCGTGCCGTGTATGATGAAAGAACAACCTGAGATACTCTTTAACTTCGTAAGACGCGCTTGGTATATGCCGCTTATCGGTCGAGGTCCAAAGACAAGGTAGATTGGCGGTTTCGAATCCAACCAGGGCTCATACGATCTTTGCCGTTGCGTTTTCAAACGCATGGAACGCATGGCGATTTTACCGTAGAAAGGGAATCATAACAAACATATGCTGCTTGTTTTATGGATTCTATTCTTATGAGCCGATCAGCGGCTTCGTGTAGCTTCCCAGGCACAAGCTCTGGTATGACCTCCTAACCATATGTGTACCCGTAAACGCGGCTCAATACAGATCGGGCGATGATTATATGGTTCGTTCCAGCCCGAGCTAAACAAGTCGACGACTCAATATCAACTTCGAAATGATGCAACGAAGAACACGGCTCGAGACGAGCATCCCAACACCCGGTGCTCGAGTCTTAAAACGCCCTCTCAAAGTCAAGCAAGTGTTGTCGGAACTTGGCAGAGAAATTCAATTGGAGAGGAGACAATCCGACTTGACTGGCTTAGGGGGTCTGTTGATCTCTCCCAGGCTCTGACGCGTCTACCTACAGCGGCGCCATCCGACTGTCATCTTTGCCAGTCCACTAGACGTTCAAACCTCAGGATATCATTCAAAAAAGTTGACGCTTATCCTGGATGCTGGTTGGAGGCTTGTCCTCTGAAACAAGCACAAAACACCAGCGCTTGCTTGTCTAGTTTACGAAGCGACTTGAGATGGGGTTGACGATAATCGTGTGTCGCAATCTCCTTATCAGGTTCAAAAGCAGGCGCGTTTTTCTGCCCTTCAACTTAAGTGA